CGTCCTATTTGTTGTTGAGGATTCTCGCGACGGCACGCGCGCAAGAGCGTTCGAATGATTTCGACATGCGCGCGCGCGAAGCCCGTTTGGTAGCCGTTCTTGGAAAAATATGGAAAAACCCGCGGCTTTCTTAAGATCGCGCAGCGCTAAATGTTTAGCAAATCCGTGTTGCGAAACCCTATGTTTTGGTATGTTTTTTGGGGAACTCGATGTTGAAACCCTTCCGAAACTTAAGACTGATGAAGGACTTCGGCATGCGCTCGCGACGACGCGCGCGTGCGCACTTCGTCCCATTTGTAGCAAAGGATTCTTGAAAACTTGTGATTTGTGATAAACGATTGCGCGAGCATAGTATTTGTTGCAAAGAATGGCGGGGGGAATGACACCAGCCTGGCTGGGATCGTACGAATTCACAAGTAGGACGGACGAGTGTGCAGAATAACTATGAAATCGCAATACCCCAGGGGGTACTGTTAACTCCGGGGGGGGTAGAATCTATTTTCTTTTAGAAAGTAGAACCTACGGGGTGCGACACATGTTGTGCAACCCATTTCTGTGCTTGTGCAGTCGATGTGGCCCAACGTATGCAGTGCAATCTACGTGGTGCAATGTATGTGCCGCAGTCTACGTGGTGCAATCCACTCTGCTGAACTTGAAGTCGCCATCTCCACTGCTCGCGCAAACATCCCACCCACCCACCCGCAACTTGGTCTGCAAAACCTCTTAAGACCGACTACGACGACACCGACGACAACGACTAGGACGACACCGACGACGTCTCCGACGACTTCGACGACGACAACGACGCCGACGCCGACGACGACGAAGACGACGACGACGACGCCAACGAAGGCGACGACGAGGGAGGAGGAAGGACGACGACGGCGACAACGACGACAACGACGACAACGACGAGGGAGGAGGGAGGACGGCGACGACGCGAACGACGACGAAGGAGGAAGGACGGCGACGCCGACGACGGCAACGACGAGGGAGGAGGGAAGACGACGACGACGACGACGACGACGACGACGACGCGACGAAATAGGAGGGACGACGACGAGACGCCGACGACGGACGACGACGACGACGAAGGAGGAGGAGGAGGGACGACCACGGCGACAACGACGACGGAAACGACCACGACGCCAAAGAGGACGACGACGACGAACACGAGGAAAGACAGAGGACGACGTAGGCGACGACGACGACGACGACGGGGAGGAGGGAGGACGGCGACGACGACGACGACGACGACGACGACGCAAGAGCGCGCGCGCGCACGCTTTTGTTGAAAATCCGTGTTGCGAAACCTTGTGTTTTTGTACGCTTTTTGGACACACGATTTTGAAATCCTTCCGAAACCGATGGGTTTTGAAGGTTTTCGGCATACGCGCGCGACGACTCGCGCGTCTGCACTTCGTCCCATTTTTTGCAGGGGACTCTCGCGACGGCACACGCGCAAGGGCGTTCGACAGACTTCGACATAAGCGCGCGCGAAGCCCGTTTGGTAGCATTTGTTGTGCAAATCTTGAAAGACCTATGGTTTTCTTAAGATTTCGCAAGAGCTTTCGCGGAAGCTTTTTTAGCAACTCTGTGTTGCGAAACCATGTGTCTTGTATGTGTTTTGGAAACTCGATTGCGAAATCCTTCCCGCACCGAAGGTTTTCGAAGGATTTCGGCATGCGCGCGCGACGACGCGCGCGTGTGCACTTCGTCTCATTTTTTGCAAGGGGTTAGTGAAAAAGTGTTATGTTTAAACAAAAAATGTCACCGCATAGTGTTTTTTACAAGGGAACCTCAGAGGGGGGGAACCGGCCTAGCTGGGATGGTATGAGTTCATGTTTAGGATGGACGAGTGTGCAGAATATATATATATATATGAAATCATACTATCCCAGGGGGAACCGATAAGTCCGGGGGGGTAGAGTCTATTCTTTTGTTTAGAAAGGAGAATTAATTTCTGTTCGCAGTGAATTGTCCACTCCACTGCTCGCGCAAACATCCCACCCACCCACCCGCAACTTGGTTTGCAAAACCTCTTAAGACCGTGACGGTGGGTACCAAATGGCACTTGGCAACGACACCGACGCCGACGACGACAGCGACAACGACGACGACGACGCCGCCGACAACGACTACGACGACGCCAATGACGTCTCCGACGACTTCGACGACGCCGACAACGACGGCGCCGACGACGACGCCGACGACGACGCCGACGCCGACGCCAACGGCTACGACGACGATGACAACGGCGACGACGACGACGCCGACGACGACGACTTCGACGACGCCGACAACGACGGCGCCGACGACGACGCCGACGACGACGCCGACGCCGACGCCAACGGCTACGACGACGATGACAACGGCGACGACGACGACGCCGACGACGACGACGATGACGACGAAGACGACGACGACGACGCCAACGCAGACGACGACGACGAGGGATGAGGGAGGACGACGACGGCGGCAACGACGACAACGGCGAGGGAAGAGGAAGGACGGCGACGACGCGAACGACGACGGAGGAGGGAGGACGGCGACGCCGACGACGACAACGACGAGGGAGGAGAGAAGACGACGACGACGACGACGACGACGACGACGACGACGACGGCGACGAAATAGGAGGGACAACGACGAAATGCCGACGAAGACGACGAGGGAGAAAGGACGACAACGGCGACGACGACGACGATGGAAACGACGACGACGACGACGAGGAAAGACAGAGGACGACGACGGCGACGACCACGACGACGACGACGACGAGGGAGAAGGGAAGACGGCGACGACGACGACGACACAAGAGCGCGCGCGAACGCGTTTGTTGAAAATCCGTGTAGCGAAACCGTGTGTTTTGGTATGTTGTTTGGACACTCGATTTTAAAAACCCTTCCGAAATCAAAGGTTTTTGAGGGATTCCGGCATGCGCGCGCGACGACGCGCGCGTGCGCACTTCGTCCCTTTTTTGCAGAGGATTCTCGCGACGGCAAGCGCGCAAAGATTTCGACATTCGCGCGCGAAGCCCGCTCGGCAGCATTTCTTGAAAATATTGAAAAACCCATGGTGTTCTTAAGGATTCGCAAAAGCGCGCGCGTAAGTTCTTTTAGCAATTCAGTGCTGCGAAACCCTGTGTTTTTGTATGTTGTTTGGGAAACTCGATTTTGAAATCCTTCCGAAGTCAGAGGTTGTTTGAAGGACTTCGGCATGCGCGCGCGACGGCGCGCGCGCGTGTGCACGTCGTCCCATTTGTAGCAAGGGATTCTCGGAAACGTGTGATTGTGATAAACGAGTGCGCGCGCATAGTATTTGTTGCAAAGGACGGCGGGGGAGCGATACCGGTTTGGCTGGGATCGTATGTCACAGGTAGGATGGACGATGGGGCAGAACCATATGTAAATTGCAATACAAAAACGGTGAGTCGTTCACTCCCGGGGGGGGTAGAGTCTATTCCTTTAGAAAGGAGACTCTGACTTATGTAATCTGTGTTGTTCAATCTCTGATGTGCAATCTATGCTGCGCACTTCGTCCCATTTTTTGCAAGAAAGTGTTGGAAATTTATGGTTTTTGAGAAACGAATGTGCACGCAAAGTGTTTTTTGCAAAGGATGGCGGGGGGGAGCGATACCGGTTCGGCTGGGATAATACGAGGTCACAAATAAGATGGACGATGGGGCAGAATCATATGTAAATTGCAATACGAAACGGTGACCCGTTAACTCCAGGGGGGAAGAGTCTATTCTTCTTTTAGAGAGGAGAATATCTGTGTTGCAGTCTGTGGTTCAATCTAGGTTGTGCAATATCTGGTACGCAGTCTATGTTGTGGAATCTACATTGTGCAGACTGTGGTAAAATATATGAAAGCAATGGGAAGCAATCCAGGCCCCGACGACGGAGGGCGACAGGTTGCGAAGAGGCGGCGACGAGATGGCGACGGCGACGACATAGCAGCCAGTCCGACACACAGGCGCAGACAATGGCCGGCGACGAGGCGGCGACGGGGCGGCGACGGCGACGACATATCCGCCAGATCGGCACGCCAGCCCAGACGGTGGCCAGCGACGAGGCAGCGACGGGGCGGCGACGGCGACGACATAGCCGCCAGATCTGCACACCAGCCCAGACGGTGGCCGGCGACGAGGCAGCGACGGGGCGGCGGCGGCGACTACATAGCCGCCAGACCAACACACCAGCCCAATTCCTTAGACCACAATAAAGAGCTCCGAAGTGCAAACACTGTGGGGGGATATGTGTATATATATACATATACATATATATATATATACATATATATAGATATGTGTATACCTGAACTGCATAGGTGCACTATATAACAACACATAAATGTCTTCATAACCTAGCTTTCAATGGGTTACTACTGCCCTGAGTGGCTTCGGCGGTATAGACCCGGTCTGAGTGGGCTTCAACCACTTCGCGGGGCGATCTACCCCCCTAAGAACAATTCAGAGAATTATTTACCGGCCTCTAAGACAGATTATGACAGAAATCACCAGCCTTAGCATCCTCTTGCAGCCTCGATGATGATGTCGACTACAATGACGGCCGTCGGCATCGCCATCGCCACATGCTCATCATCAGCAGCATCATCGTCATCATCATCAGCGCCGTCAACGCCATCATCATCATCATCATCATCATCATCATCATCATCAACATCATCACCATTATCAGTACCAGTATCATAATAAGCATCATCATCATCATCATCATCATCATCATCATCATCATCATCATCATCATCATCATCATCATCATCATCAATATCATCAGTATCAGCACCATCAGCAGCAGCATCATCATCATCGTCAGCATCTTCTTTTTCTTCTTCAGTATCAGCATCGTCAGCAGCTCATCATCGTCTTCGTCATCGTCTTCGTCATCGTCATCGTCGTCATCGCCATCGCCAGCGTCACCGCTCACTGGGAGGACTACCCGAACTGAGTTTGCGCGTTTTCCTGGTCCTCTGTCCTCGCCCGAGCTCTCGTCGTCGCCCTGGTCGCGCTCCTGCACCGTCGACACCCTGGTCAGCGCCCCATCACGGCCGTACACCGCGATGCGGGAGAAGCGGAGCTTGCACTGCGGGCACGAGTTCTCCTTCCGGGGGAAGCGGGGAGGGACGAGCGCGGGAGGGAGGAGGATGAACAAGTGACGATGGCAATGGTGAGGAGGGGGGGAGGCAGAGGCGAGTAGAGGGATACGAGGGGAGGGCCAAAGGGAAAGGGAGGCGAAAAGGGGGGGGTGAAGGGGGGAAGGGGGAGAGGGAAGTGGAGAGAGAGAGAGGTGGGGAGGGAGGAGAAGAGGGGGAAAGAGGAGCAGGTTTGGGGCCCAACGCGAGGTTCCGATAGGTTCTATGGCCGGCCGAAATCACGCGCTGCCTGAAGTCTGAGCCAGCCCTTCTGGTGCCGAGCATCTTCATTAAAGGGACCCAAAGACAAAGAAATAAATAGACACAAATCCAAGGAGTCCCAATATTTATCAATATTGTCTGGGCTTTCTCCTTCCCCCCCACTGTCCATGGTTTCCCAAATCTTTCTCGGAATCAACGATTAATTGTGTCTGTGTGTTTTCCCCTCCAATTCATGCTCTCCTCTGGGCGGATGCAGTGAGTTACCATTGACTGTTGTACGCCTCGCCTGCGAAGCGTACTGCACCGATGCTGCACTGGGTTGCCCTGTGTATTTCTACGACCCGTCGCTCACAGCGCACCGCGCTTCCGGGGCTTCGTACCATCAAAACGAGATCAAGGATGTGAGGCAAGAATATAGGGCCATTGGACATCACGTTGCTCGCAGGTGGAAGCAGCTCGCAGATGGGAGCAGGCGGTCAAGGCATGGGCGGCGTGAAGGCATCCGCATCCGTGCCAGCACGTGTTCACCCATTGCTCACGCGCTGTGGCTGGCGCAAGGCATCTGGACTGGACTGGGCTGCACATCACGTTGCTCACTGCTCCCACCCTCCCCCCATGCTTGTTTGCGAAGCGCACTGGTGCATTCTTACCCCTGCCCCCCCCCTTCGCTCCCTGTACGGGCCTGCCCTCGTGCGAGCGGGGTGGCTTCACGCCGATACAGTCGCGTCGACGTGGAGATAAGAACCGCAGGACCCCTGGCTGAGCGTGGTCCGTAACACTGCACCCACACGACTGAGTCTCTGGAGTCATCTCAATTCTAGGGCTCCCAACTTCGCGCTTCGCGCTGCGCGAGGCGCGAAGAACTTCGCGCTCTCGCGCCGCCCCCCGAAGGGAGAAAAGGAGGACGAGGAGAAGGGGAGAAGGAACGAGGACCGCGAAGCGCGAATAACTTCGCGCCCTCGTGGGAGGGCCTTGCCAATTGGAGTCCGCGCAGTCGGGGCCGGAGAATTGCACCGCATCGCCAACGCATCGCCGATGCATCGGCGCCGTCGGTGTGGACAAAATGGGGCACCCCATCGAACCAAATGGCCGCTGCACTGGCGATTCGGCACGATCCTCCGGCCCACTTGGACCCCACTTGGGAGGCTCTGGCTGAGTAACCTTCGTTCCTTCTGATGAGTTCCACCCGAACTGCACGCTCAATGCCCGAAGAGTCGGGCGCTATATCTCCTGCACGAATTGGAAATTGCAAGTGAGGCCGAACCACCCCCGGCGACTGCACGTTTCCGGCCTACCCATCTATGCTCCGCGAAACCCGCAGGTCAGCCTCCAGCAGAACATGGCTGAGCGATACTCCAAGCGGCATGGGAGTCCCCCCACTCCTCCTCCTCCTCCTCCTCCTCCTCCTCCTCCTCCTCCTCCTCCTCCTCCTCCTCCTCCTCCTCCTGCTCCTCCGCCTCCTCCTCCTCGTCCTCCTCCTCCTCGTCCTCCTCCTCCTCGTCCTCCTCCTCCTCGTCCTCCTCCTCCTCGTCCTCCTCCTCATCATCTCCTTTGTTTCTTCTTATGACTGTTCGTAGTCGTCTTCTTAGTAGTATTGATGATACTGATAGTAATAATAAGTTCGAGTATGATTTGCAGTGCAATAGAATTACGAACATGGATCGCACTAGTATTCTTATGCTAGTATTGATATGATGATGCGTCTTATTAATCGTAGTATTACTGTTAGCATTCGTCTGGTCATTTAATCAGGATGAGGGGACCGAACGGTCATTCACTGTCCCTGGGTGATTGGATGAAGTGGAATTCCGCGGTGCGGATTCTCGTTGTTGTTGTTGTTGTTGTTGTTGTTGTTGTTGTTGTTGTTGTTGTTGTTTGTTGTTTGTTGTTTGTTGTTTGTTGTTTGTTGTTTGTTGTTTGTTGTTTGTTGTTTGTTGTTTGTTGTTTGTTGTTTTTGTTGTTGTTGTTGTTGTTGTTGTTGTTGGTTGTTGTTGTTTGTTGTCGTCGTCCCACCCGCAACCCGCCCGGCGACCCGCCCGCGACCCAACCCGCGACCCACCCCGCGACCCACCCCGCGACCCACCCCGCGACCCACCCCGCGACCCACCCCGCGACCCACCCCCGACCCACCCGCGACCCACCCGCGACCCACCCGCGACCCACCCCGCGACCCACCCCGCGACCCACCCCGCGACCCACTCCGCGACCCACCCCGCGACCCACCCCGCGACCCACCCCGCGACCCACCCGCGACCCACCCCGCGACCCACCCGCGACCCACCCGCGACCCACCCGCGACCCACCCGCGACCCACCCCGCGACCCACCCCGCGACCCACCCCGCGACCCACCCGCGACCCACCTTCGACCCAAACCACGTTGAAGGTACAAACCACCATTTTCGGCGCCTGCGGCGGGTTTTTTTTGCATCCCTTCCAGGTGGAGAGCCCGCGACCCATCCCGTGACCAACTCGCGACCAACCCGCGATCCAAACCACGTTCAAGGTACAAACCATATTTTTCGGCGCCTGCGGCGGGCATCTTTTGCATTCGTTTCAGGCGGAGAGCCCGCGGGCCATCCGCGACCACGTTCAGGGTACAAACTACATGTTTCGGCGCCTGCGGCGGGCATCTTTTGCATTCGTTCCCGGTGGAGAACCCGCGGCCCACCCGCGACCCAAACCACGTTCAGTGTACAAACCAATGTTGGTTGGCGCCTGCGGCGGTATCCTTTTGCATTCCTTCCAGGTGGAGGTGGAGAGCCCGCGACCCACCCGCGACCTAAACCACGTTCACTGAACAAACCAATGCCGCACAAACGCGGCGGCGGATTTTCGCATGCCGTCTGAGCCCGCAAGGACCTCTTCAAGCCCCGCGCATCCACACCAGCCCGTCCAGCAACCTTGCCCTGGCGAGTTGCCTTGATCAGAGGAGGCGGGGAGCATAAAGTGGAAAAAAGGACTGCGTTGCAGTAATCTTGGGAAAGGAGGGGGAGGCAGGAGGAGTAAACAGGGGACGAGGAGAACGCGGCAGAAGAGAGGATGTAAGGATAATGTGGAGAGAGAAAAGGAAGAGGAGCAGGAGGACGAGGAGGGGGAGGAGGGGGAGGAGGAGGGGATGATGATGGACGACAATGGGAGGACGATGATGGAGGCCGATGAGGGGGAGGACGACGATGGGAGGACGATGATGAAAGGACGAGGGGGGGAGAGGGAGGACGAGGAAGAACAGGAGGAGGAGGAGGGAGGAGGAGGAGGACGATGACGATGAGGACGAGGAGGAGGAGGAGGAGGAGAAGATCGCCATCGACAGGGAAGGTGGGGGCCACGAGGTCCGCCGGCTCGACAACGCCCGCGTCGCCCGCGCCTGCCCCCTCACTCTTATCCGCAATTGCGGGGTGCTATATATTAATCATTGTCATATGATCCGTCTTCTACTTCTTTTTCTTCTTCCTCCTTCTCCACCTCCTTCTTCCTCCTCATCCCTTCTCCTCCCTCCTCCTCCTCCTCCTCCTCCTCGTCCTCCTCCTCCTCCTCGTCCTCCTCCTCCTCCTCCTCGTCCTCCTCCTCCACATCCTCCTCCACATCCTCCATTATATTCCCTTTTAGATGACTCCTCCATGTCGCACCCCGAGGCCAGTCGACAGGGCGGGCCGGGCGTTTCGCCTGAGACTTCCTCCGATCAACTCCAGCACCGGCAGCTCTGTCAGCCACCTGATTGCCGAACCCATTTCTAACGCTCCACGTGGGATAGTCCCTGCTCGTCAGGGTTCAAATGAGCTTGGACTGTCACGACCGACTCAACCGACTCTGAACCGAGACGATAGCTCACCATGAGCCCTGGGCAAGCACGCTGAAAAGTTAAAAAGAACGACCACGAGGACGAGAGCGAGGGAGAGGACGTGGACGAGGCGAGCGAGGGAGGGGAATGGGACAAAGAGGGGATGGGCGGCAGAAGGAGAGGGGAGGGGGAGGAGGAGGAGGGGGGAGGGTATGGCTGACCAGACGGTCTTGATGCGCCTGCCGACGGCCAAGGGAGCGCTGAAGGAGCTCCTTCTCAGCCCAGGTGAAGATGCAGCCCACGTGGAATCGGTGCCTCGGGAAGAGGCAGGAAGGGGGGCAGGGGAGAGGGAGCAAAGCGACGGGAAAGGAATAGCAGTAAAAGCAGGAGGAGAACAGAGAGGGGAAGGACGAGGAGGGGTGAGCTACTGATGCCGATATCGGGACGCGTCCTCCGCATCCTCCTCTGCCACCGCCTCCTCGTCCTCCTCCTCATCCGCATCCTCATCCACATCTTCATCCTCATCCTCATCCTGATCCTCAGCATCATCATCATCATCATCATCATCACCACCACCATCATTATCATCATCAGCAGCAGCACCATCAGCACCATCAGCAGCAACAGCCTCGCCCTCATCATCAGCACCATCATCAACATCATCATCATCATCGTCATCATCAACACCATATTCATCCTCATCCTCAGCCTTAGCATCATGATCATCATCATCATCATCATCATCGTCATCATCAGCATCATCATCGTCATCCTCAACAGCATCATCAGACTCGTCAGCATCATCATCATCATCAGCATCATCATCATCATCATCATCCTCATCATCTTCAGCATAACCATCATAGGCATCCACATCAGCGGCAGCAGCAGCACCATCCTCATAAGTCTCATCCTCCTCCTCATCGTCATCATCAGCAGCATAATCATCCTCAGCATCGCCGTCGTCATCAGTATCATCATTCTCAGCAGCATCATCATCATCATCATCATCATCAGCAGCATCAACATCATCATACTCAGCATCATCATCAACAGCATCATCATCATCATCAACATCCTTGTCATCAGCCGCAACAGCGCACACGAAAACAAGACGCTCGCCAAGCCAGACTTGCCACCACCACAACGACCTATGCGAAGAGACGGTGTTCCAGGACAGCTCTCCGTCACGGGACCAGGCAGCTGAACACATAAGGAAGAAGACGACACATGCACGAGTGGTACGGGGAAGGGTGCGAAGGAGGTGGACGGTGGCGGGGGACGGAGGAGGGAGAGGGGAGGCCTCTGCTGTAATCAAGATCGTCTGGACATGCACGCATACATGCAAGCACGCACACGCAGTATCGCAACGCGTGCGGTAGAGAGGAGAAGATGCCCTCTTCATCCTCCCCGTCCTCGTCCATCATGAGCCTTGCTCCTCCTCCCTCTCCTCCTCCGTATCATGTGCCATCCAGCCCCCGCCCAGCTACTCGACCCCCTTCTTACGCTCTCTTCAATGCCCTGCCATCACCCGCATCATGATCCTCATCCTACCGTACACTCACAGCGGGGAGGGGCGAGTCCTAATCAAAATAGGACTCTCTCGCCTCAGCGCCGCGCACTGTCGTCTTAACATGTTCTAACAGCTACGAGGATGGAGGGCGGTGCCTTTTCATCTTTGAGCCACCGCCTCAGCGACGAAGTCATTCGCCACTACACGTTTGCAACAGCTACGAAGATGGAGAGCGGCCCCTTGTTCAAATCGAGCCATCGCCCTCAGCACCGCGCACACACACACTCATCTTAAACAGTCTCAAGAGTGGAGAGGGTGCAATTTCAGAATGTGGTTATCGTTTGGCATTCCTCTAGACCTAGTCAATTTCAGGATGGGGAACCCACTTTTCACATTTCCACACCTTTACTAACGGTCAGTATCAACGCGCCCATTCGTTGCACAGATGGAGCGTTTCACGTTCGAAACAGGGACATTGCTGGACGCACCGCTCAATTGTATGACCATTACATTTCGCAGTCCTCATCACTTGCTAAATAATTACTAGGCATTTCCCTTTCAAAACAAACGAAGGTCTCGCCTGAAGGGCATTCGAACGAGACGCTCGACTTCCAGGGGGGGGGTCCTTCAGCGGAAAGAAAACTCTTGTACGGACTTACGAGGGTGAGACTTTCAGATCGGGGAGCGTGCAGCATCGTCACCGTCCTATTCCTCCTTCTCCTTCTTCTCCTCCTCCTCCCAATCCTCATCCTCCTCCTCTCCAGACAGATACATGGGGGTTGGGCGACGGCCCCTGTCGCGTGTGGAATGCAAGATTTCCTGTCCGGGAAGGGGTTTTCGTAAACGAACGTGGACCCGGGCGATGGAATCTGACTGGGGCGGAAGAGTGTGGTGTACAACCAAAAGCTGGAAGATCCTCCTCCTCCCCCTGCTCCTCCTGTATATCATCATCCTCGACGAGTTGTTCGTCCTTCCTCTCTCTCTCTCTCTGCCTCTCTCTCTCGCTCTCTCTATTGTTTCTTTCTCTCTCTCTCTCTCTATTTCTCTCTTTCTCTCTCTCTCTCCCTTTTTTTTTTCTCTCTCTCTCTCTCTCTCTCTCTCTCTCCTCCTGAGGCTACTCTTCCCCCGCTCCTCCTCCTCGTCATTATCCTCCTCCTTCTCCTCCTCCTCGTCCTTATCCTCCTCCTCCTCCTCCTCCGCCTCCTCATCCTCTTACTCCTCCTCCTCATCCAACCCCGGCTTCTCCTCGTCCTCCTCCTTCTCCACCTCATCATCATCGCCATCATCACAAACAGCAGCAGCAGCAGCCGCATCATCAGCATCATCCGTGGCATCATCACCATCACCAAAACCAACGCCATCACCAGCAACACACGATCACCAGCATCATAATCATCATACTCATCATCACCACCATCAACACCATCTCACCATCATCGTCAACATCGTCATTAACATAATCATCACCCGCACCATCACAATCGCCAGCAGCAGCAACAGCATCGTCATGACAATCATCACCACCACCATCATCATCATACTCATCTTCATCATCATCAGCAACAGCATCAGCATCAGCATCAGCATCAGCATCAGCATCATCATCATCATCATCATCATCATCAGCATCATCAGCATCATCACCATCATCACCATCATCACCATCATCACCATCATAGTCAGCATCCTCATCATCATCATCATCATCACCATCATCACACTCACAAACATCACCATCGCCATCACCATCACCATCGCCATCATCAGCATGACCATTATCGGCATCATCGTCCTCATCATAATCAACATAGTCATCAACGCCACCACCATCACCATCACTATCATCAGCAGCAGCGCCGTCTGCATCATCATTATCCGCGACAGCACCAGCAACAACAGCACTATCAGCATGAGCATCATCATAGACATCAAGAGCATCTCCAACAGCATCAACATCATCAGTATCATCACCATTACCAGCCTCATCAGCATCACCGTCAGCATCATCAAACAATCGATCCAGCAGCCATCATCAATCAACCAATCAGTCAACCAATCAATCAACCAATCAACCAAGCAATGAACCAGACAACTCATCATCAGCATCATCGTCATCATCGCCGGCATCATCATCATCAGCACCATCATCATCAGCATCATCATCATCCTGATCATCGTCGTGCCCTGTAGCGGCTGCAGGGGGACCTCCACGCCACGACGGGCGGCGGAGAGCCATTGCGGCGGCCCCAGCCGCTGGTGCGAGCGAGACGCGCCCAGGCCGAGGAACCGCGGCCTCCCTCGCCGCGGCCCGAGGGCAGGGGAGCTGGGCGCTGACGGGCGGGCCCGCGCTGGGCCGCCGCGGCCGCTGCCCGCGCTCGCCATCGCGGGCGACGTCGCGCACTCTCAGGGACTGTGGCCTGGAGGTTGCCGGCGCTCGCCTTCAAGGGAGTAGTGGATCGGTATCGTCGTTGTTCCCCCCCCTCCACCTCCACTTCCACCTCCACCTCCTCCTCCTCCTCCTCCTCCTCCTCCTCCTCCTCCCCCTCCTCCACCTAGCCTGGGCAAAGCATCAGCGAAAGCATGTCTATGTTCCGGCATAGGGCCTGCAACAAAAAAAGAAATACGTGGGCATATCCCACTCCATCGACTCGCCAAGGCAAGCGCACCACCTTTGGGGGGGGGACCCCCGTGCAAAGCAGTCACTGCTTTCGCCTGCCACCACGGGCCCCAGCAAAAGGCTCAGTCCTGGCCGAAGGCGATAAACCGCCCGATGTCCCAGAGGGTGAGCCAGGCCAGAGCCATTCAACTCCACGCCCTGCGCACCCTCCCAAACCAGCCCGAGCATGCACGCCCACCTGCGCCATCCCCCGAGACAGACCGAAAAACCTTGTGAGGATCGAGCGAGACGCCGAACATGAAGGAGACGGTGCCACCGCGAGACTGGAGCACGAAGATGAGCATAACAGGGAGGCTGCCGCAGTCTGCCAGCATCACCACGCTGTCGATGCCGTGCCCTGCCCTCTGCGTCGATAGTCGCAGAAGGCCTTGCAGTTGATCGACTTCTTGAACTACACGTCGCTAGAACAGTTGCCCAGCTGTACCAACAAATACTTGAAGCCGAAAGCTTCGATGGCCTCCGGCGCGTACAGCTTGCCAGCGATGCCCCAAGTGCGCCTGAAGATCCTCTCGTCCACGGCGGGGGCCTCCGCGAGCACCGCCAGGGACTCTTCGTCTAGCAGGGGCGCCTTGCTCTCGTACAGGCCCTTCGACTGGGACTTGAAGAGATCCTTCATGGTCTCGACGTCCTTCTCCTCGTGCCCCGCGCAGCCACCAGGGAGGCCCATCGAGGCGAGGGGGGAATAAGGCCCCCCCGCGAGGCACCGCAAGCGACATGTACGTCTCGCTCGCCCCGCTGCGCGCCCTGAAGGAGACCCGACGAGAGGAAGGCGCTTCTGAGCCAGACAGGCTACAAGGCTCTCACCCCGTTTGGACCCCGACCGGAGTCCAAGCGGGGCTTGAGCCAAAATGGCTACGCCTCCTCCTCCTCTTCCTCCTCCTCCTCCTTGTCCTCCTCCTCCTCCTCCTCCTCCTCCTCCTCCTCCTCCTCCTCCTCCTGGTACTGGGCACTGCGTGGTACTAAAGTTTAGTGCAGGCCCTGGTACTACTGCAGCGCGCGTCGGCGAGAACCAAGATATGGAAGACACTTGGGATCACCAGAGACTCTAGAATAGGCTGAACCGCCTGGGTGGCAAGGATGACCTCCCCCCACATCCTCCTCCTCCTCCTCCTCCTCCTCCTCCTCCTCCTCCTCCTCCTCCTCCTCATCCTCTCATCCTCCTCTACCTCCTCATCCCTCCTCCTCCTCCTCCTCCTCCTCTCCTCCTCCTCTCCTCCTCTCCTCCTCCTCCTCCTCCTCCGCCTCCTCCTCCTCCTCCTCCTCTTCCGTCTCCTCCTCCTCCTCCTCCTCCGCCTGCTCCTCCTCCTCGTCCTCCTCCTCCTCCTCTACCTCCCCCTCGGAGGACGAGGCGCCTCGGCGCACAGCAGTCGAGCACCGCCAGAAGCTCTCCCTCGGCGTCCGCGTCGGCCGCGGGGTCCACGTCCAACAGGCAGGCGCCGCACTGCACCGGCGCCTGGGGATAGTTTTTTCGAGTAGGGGATCGACTACAGAACTGATGTCACCCAAACATGATGTCCCCCTCGAATCCCCCCCCAAAAAAAATCGTAGAATGTTCGTAGATCTACGAACGTTCTACGTGGTTTGCACGGATTCGATGGGAACGCCAATTTCGGGATAAATCGATTCTGCAATCGATCCCCTACTCGAATTTCAACTGCTCGGCAATCACCCAGGTTATCCGAAGGGGGAGGTGCCAGCCGATGACCTGACCTCTTCGCACTGGGCAGCCCCACGTGTGCCCGCGCGCACCACTGCTGCGCACCCCCTGCGGACCTGCGCAGACGACGATGTCAAGTTATCCGGGGGAGAGAGAGACAGGCGGGGCGGGCGGGCCCGATGACCCGGGCTATCGCCAGACCCCAGAAATGATCCTGGCGAGGGGCCCAGCCATATGCAGTTGTGAGTACCGCAGGGCAGGCAGGACGATGGAGGGGGAACCCCCTATAGAGCCGCGAACCGCGTGTGAGGGGCAAACCGCGTGAGGGTAGTGCCAGCAGGTGTCAAATATACGCAGCACATCTGGTGTGATTGTGCAGAGCATGACTGTGGCATACCGAACGTATTGATACATGTTTGCCAAAACCCCTTAGGGCCCTTGAATCGAGCGCGCCAGCGGTGTGAAGATATCATCAGATACTGCTTTGGTTTCTCATTACTACTGCCATCGAAGATTTCGGGCGCTTTCATAAGTTCATATTGGTAGCGGAGCCTGGTAAGCCAGGCTCACGCTTCGACCTTCCATATCTCAACGACCTCTCTTCGGATGTGGTCGCCAACTCCATAAGAAGCTTCGATTTGCCAATGGGGCCACGATCCTCGTGAGGCGTGTGCCGAAAGAGGGCGGGTCGGACGCACGCGGGCGGCGCAACTTGGACCTTCGGTGGGGCCCCCATGGGGCCGCGATCCTCGTCAGGGGTGCGCCGAAATAGACGGGTCGGACGCATGCGGGCGGCGCCCCTGAGACCTCTCGTGGCACCCATGGGGCCACGATCCTCATGAGGCGTGTGCCAACATGGGTGGGCCGACGCACGCGGGCAGCGTCCCTGGGACCTTCGGTGGAGCCCCCATGGGGCCGCGATCATCGCGATCGGTGTGCCAAATTGGGTGGGTCGGACGCATAGAAGCGGCGCCTCAGTGGAGGTCCCTATGGGGCCACGATCCTCGTAAGGGGTGTGCCGACATGGATACTTCGGACGCGCGCGGGCGGCGCCCGTGGGACGATCGGTGGAAGTCCCTACGGGGCCACGATCCTCAGAAGGGGTGGGCCGAAATGGATGGGCCACACGGATGCGGGCGCCGCCCCTGCGACCTTCGGTGGAGCCCCCCATGGGGCCGCGATCTTCGTGACGGGTGTGCCGATGTTGGCGGGTCGGGCGCATGCGGGCGGCGCGCATGGGACCTTCGGGGAAGCCGTGACGGGCGTGCCGACATGGAACGGTCGGGCGCATGCGGGCGGCGCCACCGAGGCGTTCGGTGGAGTTCTTTATGCGGCCACGCAGGGTGCGAGGGGTACGCCATGATGGTGCTGATGCTGATGATGGTGGTGATGATATTTATGATGTCGGTGATGCTGATGGTGGTGATGATGGTGATGGTGGTGACGGTGCTGGTGCTGGCGATGGAGCGGTCCACGATGATGATAATGAAACTGATGACAATGATGATGCTGATGATGGTGATTGTGATGGTGATGGTTCTGGTGATGGTGACGGTGATGATGAGGATGATGCTGATGATCGCGGTATTGATGATGATGATGATGTTTCGTCATGCTGCAGACGAGACCGCTCAGCACGGCCACGTTGTTCAGAGGCACCCCAGTACTGCTCTAGCGGGTTGGCGTCCTCAACTGCCTGCCACAGTCAACGCGGGTAGTCCGAAAACTAATCATGAAACTCTAGATCGGGGTTGAACTCGTGAAAATCAACACGACGACGCCCCCGAGGCGCACGGCATTGCCAGTAATCGTTCGCAGGAGGACGAGGGCTTTGAGAGACACCGCATGGCGAATCGCCATCGCAATAGGACAGAAGAGGACAAAATATCTCATCTATGAAAACACAGTTGGCAACAACTGCAGCCAGACCACCGGCATGATCGTCACTGACACCAAGGGGATCCGCACACCGATCAGGAAGAACCGCGCCTCCAAGAAACGCACGACAACCTGAAAGCTCACGACCGTCTGGAGGCTCACGACCATCAGGAAGCCCACAACGAAGCTCATCTGGAAGCTCACGACCATCTGGAAGCTCACTACCGCCTGGAAGCCCAGGGCCACCTGGAAGCTCCACACGAAGGGCGTCAGCAGGACCAGGTACGTCAGCAGCACGGTCAACAAGAAGGGCAGCGCCACCCAGAGGACCCACATCGCCAGGAACACGCTCAGCTTCAGGAGGGGCCGCATCTGGCTCAGGAAGGGCTCCAGGACCCTCACGAAGCGAAGCTTTAGGAAGAACCGCGCCTCCAAGAAATTCACGACCGTCTGGACGCTCGCTTCCGTCTGGGAGCTCACGACCACCAGGAACCCCACCAAAAAGCACATCTGGGAGCTCACGGCCATCTGGAAGCTCACGACCATGTGGAATGACACCGGCATCTGGAAGCCCAAGACCATCTTGAACCCCAGCCTTTGGAAGCACGGGGGCGTCCAATATGGAGATCGACCCAGAAGCAGCAGCAACAGGTGGGCCAACACCGCGTCCACATCGAGGGCGGGGGGCATCCAACGCAGCCTTTTCCATACCCATATGGGGCGACTGCGGCGCGATTTCCTCGGCCTCCGCGTTGCGCGGGAAGGCGGGGAAAGACGGCACAGAGGGAAATAGACCATGACGTCGCGGCATCTTCGACTGCGGGGAACCTGAACCCGCCGACCACGGGTCGTTGCCTCCACCCCATGGGTCAGCAGCGCCGCAAGCAGGACCACCAGTGAAGCTTCGTCGACGTCCACCAGAGCGAGGCACGGGATCATGATCATGGTGTCCATCGTCGCCATCGTCCCCACCATCACCAGAATCGCCAGGTCCAGGGGTAACATGTGGTGGGACCAGATCTGTAGTCAGGAAGTCGACTCTTGAGTGTCCGCTCGAATGCCTATGCCCACGATCGGCAACACGCATGGTCGCCGCCTCCATATCCAGCCAGTCCAGAGGTGTAGGAAAGCGAGCGGCTGTGCAGCAGCAGCAACACGAGTATAGGGATATACTAACACACTTACTTTCTGCACACTGGTCTGGTCGTCCGTAGCCGACGTGACCACCAACTTGTACCCCGCGACGAGCTGCTCCCACAAGAACGCAATGCGGGAGAGGACCACCATGCGCCACGTCACGGGGCAAGAACGGCGGGAGGTCGCGCGCGCGCCGGCCAACCCCCCGCCCAGCACGTGCAAGGGCCAAAGGGTCTGTGCTGGTGATGATGATGATGCTGATGATGCGGATGGTGATGATGTTGATGATGATGATGATGATGATGATGACGATGACGATGACGATGATGATGACGATGACGATGACGATGACGATGACGATGACGATGACGATGACGATGACGATGACGATGATGATGATGATGATGATGATGATGATGATGATGATGATGATGATGGTGATAATGATGATGGCTGATGATGATGATGATGCTGATGATGCTGACGATGCTAATAATGACGATGATGATGCTGATGGCGATGATGATGATGATGGCGATGACGATGACGATGATGATGATGATGATGGTGATAATGATGATGGCTGATGATGATGATGATGATGCTGATGCTGACGATGCTAATAATGACGATGATGATGATGATGATGATGATGATGATGATGATGATGATGATGATGATGATGATGATGATGATGGCGATGACGATGACGATACTGATGTTGTTGACGTGCGGAGAGAAGGAGCAAGGGTAGGAGGAGAGAGGAAGGAGACCGGAGGAGGAGGAGGAGGAGGAGGAGGAGGAGGAGGAGGAGAGGAGAGGAGAGGAGAAGACCGAAGAGGAGGAACGGAGACGCAGGGACTGTCTCATGAAAACGAGGACCCAACACCACAGGACGGTTGGGAAAAACAGTCTCCTGGCCTTTGTGGGCCCGTGCACCTAGCGGCGCCCGCAACGGTTGATGCAATATCAGTTAAGCATCGGGAAATCGGATCGGGTCGGAAAGAAAATCGAACTGGACCGCATCGGCACGGAGTCGGAATCGAATTCCGAATCGGATCATCTGCGCCCAAATGCACAACAGTGCCATGCAAGCATCGGGCCATATCGGACCGTAGAAATATCGGAATCGAATAAAATCGGGCCAGCCAAAGCCGACATCGAATCAGATCGACTGGATCGAAATGGACACTGCTGATGCACAAAATCTTTCATCACCCGCACGACCGAAGTGCCAGCGCAAACTTTCACGCGCCTCCTTGCCCCCGATATCATATTGGCTGACACCGCCAGCGGGGCCAAGGAGTTCGGCCAGTCGACAGATCGACCCGCCGATATGGAAGTGGGGCGGGGGGGATATCACAAAAATCAACACATTAAATCTCTACATATATCTATATATATATATATATGTTGACTATCAACCGAACAGAGGGTGGGTCTTAGAAACTCCCGGCGCCTTCTGAGAGGGCCCCCATCTGCTGAACAGCCTTATCCGCCTTCTGAAAGGTCGCCCCCCTCGGGGGATATCACAAAAATCAGCACAGAAAAAATATAGGTTGACCATCAACCGAACAGAGGGTGGGTCTTAGAAACTCCCGGGGCCTTCTGAGAGGGCCCCTTATCTGCTGAACAGCCTTATCCGCCTTCTTCAAGGCCGCCCCCCTCGCGCCATCTCTCTGTGGGCGCCGCCAATGCCGCCGCGGCCGCCGCTGCTGCTGGCAGACAACGTCAACGTCGTGATCATCGTCGTCGCCGTCGACGTCGACGTCGACGTTGTGGCCGTCGTCGCCGTGGACGTCGTCGTCGCCGTTGCAGACGCCGTCGTTCGGAGCTACCCATGCCGTTCGGCAGGTAACTATTCGGAAGTGCTTGTGGGGTCCAGACGTTTCTCGCCGCAACGACTGGACCGGGGTCCGAGAACTGGCCAAGACGTCCCTGGGACGGGTCCTGAGGCCCGCCCTGAGACTGGGGTCCGAGAACTGGCCAAGGTGACCCTGGGGCAGCTACTCGTCGACGCGGCCAGCCATGACCCGCGCCCCGATCGCCAGAGGCGCGCGGCCCAGCGCCAGAAAGTCGATGTCGGCCGCGGGGGACAGGACAGCACGTTTCACCGAGGGAGGAGTCCGAGAGCAGCCCGCTGGTCGCGGAGGCACGCCGCGGCATGCTTGGCTATGTGCATGTCATCGGCGAGAAGCCATCGTGGCCACATCGCTTCCATAGCCCGCGCGTCTGCCTGACAATACCGATGGTCGTGCGGACAGCGAACAGAAACATCGAAGTGCAACGGTGTCATCCAAACTGTTGCTGTTGCCGCGCTGCCCCTGCTGCCACAACTCCTTGCTCTGCTGCTCCTGCGCCGGCTGCAGCGATCGTCTTTCAAGGGGATGCTTCACTATTGCAGTGAAACGGAGTCTGGTGGGGATTCATGGGCGAGGAAAGATTGGGGACGGGAGGGTGTACTGCAGCACTGCTGACGCACACTGGGCCTGCAAGCGTCCTCCTGCTCCTCCTCCTCCTCCTCCTCCTCCTCCTCCTCCTCCTCCCCCTCCTCGTCCTCCTCCCCCTCCCTCCTCCTCCTCCTCCCCAACCTCCTCCAATTCCTTCTCCCCGTTTAGAGGTAAACAAAAAAACGCCAGCGACCTCCAAGAACTTGCCGAACACCTCCCAGAAACACTTGAAATCTAAGGACGCCCCCGAAAACCTTTTCCTCCTCCTGGAGGCAGGCTGCGCGGCCAAGTTGTCTTGACCACGTGTGAGACGGCTCCCGCCCGATGCCACGAAGAGCCTTGCAACACCCAGCAGCCAGAAATGGGCCAGAAAATAAGGGGCATCTCGGGGACCTACGGACCTGGGTCAATCCGCACACAGGCCAGCCAGGCTTTGCAGGTGCAGATCCCACAGGATCCTGCAGGATCCTGAAGCCAAGCCTGGGTCAGTGCAGCTCTGGCTCTGCAGGATCGACAAGATCCGGTGCTTCGACTGACCGCTGTTTTTACCAGCCTGGAACATATCCCTATCCCTATGTTGGGCATCGCCTCATCACGATGGCGATCTTAGGGATTTCCTCCATTTCTGAGAGTGTATCCCTAAGAGTGTCATCTCCTTTTAGCGTGCCAATCCTAGGGATAGGGATAGGTTCGAGGCTGGTGATGTTTGCGTTGACCCCCGTCCCTGGAGCTCCGAGCCTCTGGACGGTGCCCCACCCCGGGCGCCCGCGCAGCTGCGCCGCCCCCTCCCCTGGTGTAGCCGCGCGGCCTGCCGCGCGCAGCTGGCCCTGCCCCCCCAGGCGGGCGGCGCCTCGGCGCCCGCGCCGCACGGCGCGGTCTCCGCGGCGGCACCGACGAACGCTGAGGGCGGCGGAGGGGGGGCGGATCGGATGCAAAACGCCGCCGCCGCCGCCGCCGACGACGACGCCGACGCCGACGCCGACGCCGACGCCGCCGCCGGCGACGACGACGCCGCCGCCGACGACGACCAAGACGACCAAGACGACGACGACGACGACGACGACGACGCCGACGCCGACGCCGCCGCCTCCGCCGGCGACGACGACGCCGCCGCCGACGACGACCAAGACGACCAAGACGACGACCAAGACGACCAAGACGACGACGACGACGACGACGACGACGACGATGGGGCCCGAAAGGGCCCCATTTGGGGCCCAGCGGCCCATTTACCAGCGGCCCCCTTTAGGGGCCCTCAAGGGGCCAACCATAGAGCAGTCCTCGGTTCCCCGAGGGGGGAGGCAGGCCCTTTGGGCGGGGCTCCAGCAGGCTTCCTCAGAAGGGGGGGCAGGCCCAGACGTGCTCGTGTCCTGAACCAGACCAGGACGGCATTATTTGGGCCGTGCTGGGCCGCTGGGAACCTTTGCCGTGGCCCAGGACCGTCAAAAAGACTCAGAATAAAGAACCGGTCTGGGGAACGGGTTGGGACTTCTGGGCGGCGGAGGGCGGCGGAGGGGGCGGCCGAGGAGGGGGGGCAAGACTCCGGCAAGTTGATCAAACCCTACTTGAATCACCGCGAGTGTTGCTAAATGGATGGGGGAATTGAGTTGATGCCATGGTGGGCTATCCCGCAAACAGTGCATGCACTTGGGGGTTCTTCCTTGTGTTCCAAGGTAACTGAGCCCCACTGTCGGTCTGGCTGAGGGCGGCAGAGGGGGGGGCAGGCTGAGGCTGCGCCTATACTATAACGTCCCAGGTGGAAGGCCCTGCGCGGGGGGCTAGGCGTTGGCACCGGGGCGCCAGAACCAAGAGGATCCGCACGCGTCCCACACAAGAGTACGCACAACGAGACGGCCACGGATTACTGACTGAATATAATTCTGGCGGAGGGAGAGGAGGCAAGACCCCAGCAAATTTGCCGATGGAGCCCGACGCAACCCTTTGAATCGCCACGGGGGGTGCTATGTGAGTTGGGGGTGAAGAAGGATGCCATGGTTGCCTGCATCTACCCTGAACAAGTATGCTAAGCTACGTCGGTCAGAAGAGCCCTAAAATTCTTAGGGGTGTAAGGATCCGGGCTAAATTGGCTCCGCCCACCTCGCGGAATTAGCGAATCCACCCAAGCCATGTAGCGCACGTGTACCCAACTTGTAAGATGCATTAGGCCAAATGTAAACCACCTTGGCGTACCTCTCAGCCACCCCCGCGGTGGTTTAACCACGGGGCCCAACGACACGCGGCACCATACCAAATCCTGAGGTCTCCCGACGGGGCCTGGCACCTGCCAAAGGATGCAAGATATTGGGGAATAGGGCCTCGACAGCAATGTGTATCAAGAACTCGGGCACAAAACGTCCACTGAAATACGTGCGCTCTTGCTGCGACCCGCAACTATATACTGGCCCTGCTGAACCCCTCCGCGCCACGCCGCCGCTGCATCCGACTAGCTGAAAGGACCTCTTCCTTCCGATTTCCGCTGACGTCTTGACTTTGTTCACAATGTGGAGCCCTTTCCTGGGACTGAGTGGTCATGCTGAGTCGTTGTCGATGGTCCTAGGGCCTGGCGGGCCCCCTGAAGCCGAAAATTCAAAAACAAAAACGAAAACAAAAAGAGAACACTTCACCGAGACGTGCCCAACCCTTTTCTACACATGTGTCGGCAATACACTGGACCGACCAATACAAACGAGCATGTTGCAGGACCCGAAGGAGCCCACAAACTTGGCGACAATTGCACACATCGCAACCCCCCCGGTGAACCGCGAAGTCTCGGCTGGGTCTGTTTACCACTCCACTCCGCAGAGCCTCCCAAGAACCTATGAACATGGCGACATCTGCGCACTTCGCAGCCCCCCGTGAACCGCGAGGTCTCGACTGGGTCTGTTTACCACTCTACTCCGCCGAGCCTCCCAGGAGCCCACGAAAATGGCGACATCTGCGCACTTCGCAGCCCCCCAGTGACCCGCGAGGTCTCGGCTGGGTCTGTTTACCACTTCACTCCACTCCGCTGAGCCTCCCAGGAGCCCACGAAAGTGGTAACAAATGCATAACTTGCACCCCGCGAAAGAACCGCGAGGTGTCGGCTGGGTGTGTTTACAACTCCACTCCGCTCAGCCTCCCACGACCCCACGAAAATGGGCACAATTGCGCATACTTCGCAGCCCCCCAATGACCCGCGAAGTCTCGGCTGGGTCTGTTTACCACTTCACTTCGCTGAGCCTACCAGAACCTCACGAAAGAACCAATAATTGCGCACACGTCGCAACCCCCCAGTGAACCACAAGGTCTCGGCTGGGTCTGTTTACAACTACACTCCGTTGAACCCACCAAGAGCCCACGAAAATGGCGACAATTGTACACTTCGCAGCCCCCCAGTGAACCGCGAGGCCTCGGCTGAGTCTGTTTACCACTTCACTCCGCTGAGCCACCCAGGACCTCACGAAAGTGGCGACGGGTGCACACTTCGCAGCCCCCCAGTGACCCGCGAGGTCTCGGCTAGGTCTGTTTAGAGCCTGGTTCTTTTATTTTGTGGGATAGCGGCCGTCATCGGCCCCGTCGCCCCCACAACAAATGACGTCACGTTCCGCGCCGGCGGCGTCCGGGAATGCCTAGGGATGACCGTGGCCAAGTAGGAGCAGCATGTAGGTTGCGATCTGCACCACAGCGCCTGTGTACACCACAGTGCTCGCTGGCACCACAGCGCGCGTGTACACCACAGTGCCTGCGTATGCCGCAGCAACCATGTGCAACACAGCGCCTGTGTACACCACAATGCTTGCGTGCACCGCAGCGCCTGTGCACACCACAGCGCATGTGTACACAACAGCATCTGCGTGCAACGAAGCGCTGGTGTACACCACAGCGCCTGCATGCAAAGGAAGGAGCAAGTAGGTGAGGATCTGCTGAGGATAGCTGAAGACCACGCCAGGGAATTGCTGATCATAGAATGCGATGGTCTTCCCTCCATCCTCCTCCTCCTCTTCCTCCTCCGCCTACGCCTACTCCTACTCCTACTCCTCCCACACCCTTCCACCCGTCATGCGGGTCGGCGCTACAGCGCACGTGCGCATCTCAGTGTGCACCGCGGACTGGTCTATTGAATCGGTCCACTTGGTTCTCGGAAGGCCAATTCTGCGGGAGCCTCCTGGACGCAAATGAGATGAGTCGAAGATTACAGCGGCGCTCATTTGTCCATAAGGATTCCTTTCCAAAGTCAATACTGAACAAGTGTATGATGTGGAATACACACGCGCTCCGTTTTGTCATAAGGATACCTTCTAAATTCTATACACAACAATGGTCTTCTGTTGCGCACGATTGATGTGATGCAAACAGGCGCCGTGGTGTACACAGGCGCTGTGGTGCACTCAAGGCACTGTGGTGTACACTGGCACTGTGTTACACACGACTGATGTGGTGCACGCAGGCGCTATAGTGTACACAAGCGCTGTGGTGCACGCAAGCACTTTGGCACACACACACACACACAGGCGCTGTGTTGCACGTGCTGTGGTGTACATAGGCGGTGTGGTGTACACAGGTGCTGTGGTGCACGCAGGCACTGTGGTGTACACAAGCGTTGTGGTGCACATCGCCACCTACTCCTCGGCCAATCCTGGGCATTCCGAGACGCCGCCGGCGCGAAACGTGACGTCATCGGCCCCCTCCCCCCCACCCACACACACACACACACATACACACACACACCAAATGACGGTCGCCATCGGCCCAGAATACAAAACAAGCTCTTGCCACTCCACTGAGCCCCCCAGGAGCCCACGAAAATGGGGACAATTGCACACTTCGCAGCCACTCAATGACCCGCTAGGTCTCGGCTGGGTACGTTTGCCACTCCACTCCGCTGAGCCTCCCAAGGGCCCACGAAAGTGGCTACAATTGTTCACTTCGCAGCCCCCCAGTGACCCGCGAGGTCTCGGCTGGGTCTGTTTACCACTCCACCCCGCTGATCCACCCAGGAGCCCACGAAAATTGCGACAGATGCGCACTTCGCAGACCCCCAGTGACCCGCGAGGTCTCGGCTGGGTCTGTTTACCACACCACTCCGCTGAGCCTCCCAAGAGCCTACGAAAATTGCGACAAATGCGCACTTCGCAGCCCCCCCCGTGAACCGCGAGGACTCGGCTAGGTCGGATTACCAACCCATTCCGCTGAGCATCCGAGGACCCGACGAAAGTGTCGACAATTGCGCGCTGTGCAACCCCCCAGTGGTGACCCGCGAGCTCTCGGCTGGGCCTGCTTACCACTCCACTCCGCTGAGTCTCCCAGGAGCCCACGAAAGTAACAATTGCATACTTCGCAGCCCCCTGATGACCCGCGAGGCCTCGGCTGGGGCGCTTTACCATTCCACTCCGCTGACCCTCTCAGGAACCACGAAAATGGCGACATCTGCGCACTTCGCAGCCCCCCGTGCACCGCGAGGACTCGGCTGGGTCTGTTGACCACTCCACTCCGCTGAGCCTCCCAGGAGCCCACGAAAGTGGCGACAATTGTACACTTCGCAGCCCCCCAGGGGTAACCCGCGAGGTCTCGGCTGGGTCTGTTTACCACTCCATTCCGCTGAGCATCCGAGGACCCGACGAAAGTGGCGACATCTGCGCACTTCGCAGCCCCCCAGTGGTGACCCGCGAGGACTCGGCTGGGTCTGTTGACCACTCCACTCCGCTGAGCCTCCCAGGAGCCCACGAACATGGGGACAATTGTACACTTCGCAGCCCCCCAGGGGTAACCCGCGAGGTCTCGGCTGGGTCTGTTTACCACTCCACTCCGCTGAGCATCCGAGGACCCGACGAAAGTGGCGACGATTGTGCATTTCGCAGCCCCCCAGTGGTGACCCGCGAGGTCTCGGCTGGGTCTGTTGACCACTCCACTCCGCTGAGCCTCCCAGGAGCCCACGAAAGTGGCGACAATTGTACACTTCGCAGCCCCCCAGGGGTAACCCGCGAGGTCTCGGCTGGGTCTGTTGACCACTCCACTCCGCTGAGCCTCCCAGGAGCCCACGAAAGTGGCGACGATTGTGCACTTCGCAGCCCCCCAGTGGTGACCCGCGAGGTCTCGGCTGGGTCTGTTGACCACTCCACTCCGCTGAGCCTCCCAGGAGCCCACGAAAGTGGCGACGATTGTACACTTCGCAGCCCCCCAGTGGCCCGCGAGCTCTTGGCTGGGTCTGTTGACCACTCCACTCCGCTGAGCCTCCCAGGACCCGACGAAAGTGGCGACGAGAGAGGCAGAGTCACAACTGGGCTCTAACGCACGCAGGGTGAAGGAGAGAAGGGAGGAGGAAGAGAAGGAAAAGGAGACAGGAGGGAGGAAGTAGGAGACAGGAGGCAGGAGGACGGAGGAGGAATAGGGAGGAGGAGCGGAGACCGCAGTGCGCTATTCAAAACGAGAACCCAACCTAGGAGAATTGGGGAAAAAGTGCGTCGTGATGATTCCATACCAAGAGAAGGTGGGAACCCCACCAACCCTTTAGGGCATAGGTCGTTTTAAGGCGATTCCTCTTGTAGCCCCCTTCGTCCACTCCGGGGAGGGGCTTATCACTGTTCCATATAATTACATGTACACGCCCTCCCCCACCTGACAGGGGGCCAACCCGGCGCCATGACAACACCGCCTACCATCCTTGTCAAAAGACAATGCCACCTTCACTCTAAGATACAGTCGGGATCATGCGTGGGCGCTACGCGATCACTTTGCATTGTCTTTCGAGGGGGACAAAGGGGGGGGAGGACCGGCACGTTACCTGCTGCGCGCAGGCCCGGTGATTGTCGATGGCAGTCCCTGCCGATGCTGAGGCCCAGGTGCTGCTTATGTGGTGGGCGGGCGGGAGTGAGCGAGACGGTAGTCCTTCGGGAGGGGCAGCTGAGCCAATGTTCCTTCTTACAAAACAAAGAGAGAGAAAAAAAACAAACAAACAAACAAAAAAAAAAAAAAACTCCTCCCCCACCCGACTGGCGACAAACCGAAACCAATGCAAAATGCACCATGCGGCAAAATCTGGACCGTGCGCGGGCACCCCGTGAGCACGTTGCGTTGGTTTTGACAGGGACGGCGGGGGTGCCCTCATATGGCCCGCTCTGTGCAGGCCTACCCTCCCTGTCAAAGCAATGCACAAGACGCGTTGCGGTAAAATCTGGACCATACGCGGTCGCCCCATGATCACTTTGCACTGTTGTTGACAGGGACGGCGGTGCTCGTATTAAAACGTCTGTTCTGCGCAGACCCACACTCCCTGCACACACACACACACACACACCCACACACAACGCAAAGCACACTCTGTGGCGAAAGCCGATTCACGCGCGGGCGCCACTGATCTTTGTGCGTCAGTTTCTGACAGGAGCGGCGGGGGTGCCCTCATATTGTTTGCTTTGTGCTTCCGACGGGCTCATGAACTGAGTAGGATCGGGGCCCCAAACTCGGATGCTGCCCATGTGTTGGGAGGGCGAGTGGGATTGAGCGAGCCGGCTTGCGGCTTGGAGTAATTAGACCCCTCCCCCTACCGCTCACCCGTGGGTCTGGAAGGAGGGGCGGCGAGTCGTTGGAGCGACCAAGATGACCCAGGATGGCTTCAAAATGGCCTCAAATAGCCCGCGATGGCCTACAAACTACATGGCTCAAATCGCTTAGACCATGGAGACCAAAGTTCCTCCAACACCTACGGAATAGCGATGGTGGCGGCCTTCTGGCCTTTTCGCTGCTGATGAGCTTGGAAGCCGCAAGATGGCCCAAGAGGGCCCCAAGAGAGCTAACGAGGGCCCAAGAAGGCCCCAAGAACGCCCAAGACTGACACATGAGAGCCACAACAAAGCCCCCCCAAAAAAACACCGGCCTTCGAGGAGCGATGCTGTTAGGGGACCCCCATTGCATACTCGATGTCCTCCTTGATGTTCCCAAGAGGGGCCACGAGGCTCCCAAAAGTACATCAAGAGAGCGCCAAGAGGGTTCCACAGCCATCCATCGATGACCCAATATTGCCCCAACCGCTACCAGAATTGCCCTTCGAGCCCCCCTCCCTCATTGGACTCCAAGAAGCGGCTCGTCGGGTTCCAACGGGGGGGGGGGGGGGGAGCGATGGAAGGGCGCCCGCGCTGTCGGATTCATGTCATCCAAAATGGTTTCCTAAATAAGCTCCCCCTCCATCCTCCACTCCTCGCCTCCTCTTTCATATTTGTTCCTCCTCCTCCTCCTCCTCCTCCTCCTCTTCCTCCTCCTCCTCATGATCATCATCCTCATCGTCATCCTCATCGTCATCATCATCACCACCGTCATCATCATCATGATCATCTTCATCATCATCAGCCTCCTTGTCCTCCTCCTCCGCGTTCTCTTCCTCCTCCTCCTCCTCCTCCTCCCCCTCCTCCTCCTCCTCCTCCTCCTCCCCCTCCTCCTCACCATCCTCCGCCTCCTCGTTTTTCCTCGAAGCGAGGCGTCACGGCCGCCACCCAGCCGACGAACCTAACCATCATCAACTCACTCCCCGTCATATATCTCTCCCCTCCTTGGATAAAGCGACACCGTGTCTATAGTTACATATAGATATATGCACATATACAACTGTAGCGCGTTAGCGGGCCTGCTCGGCTTGCTCGGGAGCGTTCATTTCGCGGCTGCCTTTTGCGCGGGCATCATGTCTGAATCGGCTGGTGGGGATACTTTTTTGTTCGCGAGCGCAAGCGGAAGAGCCGCGCGCCGTCAGAGGAATGCCGAGTAGCAAAGAACTCAATTACTACGGCCTAGAACGGGACCGAACGCGTGCAGCTAACAAGCGGCGGAAAATGCAAACTAAGCAGCGGGGCGAACTCAACCGCCGCTCAGACGGAACAGGCGAAGACGATCACCGGGCCCAACTGGCAGTGGGTTCGATGGCGCCCACATTGCAGCAGCGTCACTCTCGACATACCTCTCCTCGGCGTTAAGTCTGCATGTGCCGAATGCAGAACCAGCACCCCACCGCAGCCGTCAGGCACGATGCCGCGTAACCACTTATGGGCGAGCGGGCCGTCGAAAAAGGCGTGGACCAGCGCTGGGGGTGAGAGCCTGCATCCAGAAAACGCCCGGTCGGCGAGGATTTCTGTCCGCGGCTGGTGGGGATACGCGAAGCGCCAGCATGTTCGAACGTTGTGAAAGAGAACATAACGACTCCGCCAAACTGTTTGGTGGGCGGCGGAAAGGGTCCAACAAGTGGTCAAGCGAACGGCGGGACGCCCATCGTGCCGCCCAGGGAGACAGTCGAGGTGACGACGGGCGCCGATGACGCAGGGAGGGCGCCCAGCGGAGTGAGCGGAAGGCGTTGCCAGGACCAGGGCTTGGGAGTCGGCTGTGCGGACGGCCGCGTGCAGGGGGGAGGAGGGAGGTAGGAGGCAGTGAAGGAGGGGGGGAGAGGAGACGGGGAGGAGGGGGGTGAAGCAGGGGGAGAGGGGGAGACATTACACTAATTATCCTCTGTTCTCCTCTAACAACTGGTCCTCCTCCGCCGCCGTCTCCTCCGTCTGTTTCCCTTATGCCCGTGCATGTTCCTACTCGTGCTCCGTCCTCCTCCTCCTCCTCCTTCTCCTCCTCCTCCTCCCATTCCTTCTCCTCCTCATCATCCTCCTCCTCTTGCTCCTCCTGCTTCTCCTCAACCTCCCCATCCTCCTCCTGAATCCAACACCGACGACGGCCACGGCAACGGCGACCCTGGCGACGCGGCAGGACGCACCAGGACCGTGCGCCCCCTCCTGGAGGCGCACGTCCGACCAGAGCCCGCAGCGCCACGGCACCACGGCGCCCTCGGACCCAGTTGGACGCCCGAGTTATCCGGGGTAACTCGGGTCCGGGGTAACTCGGGTTTTGGGTTCCCGAAAAACGAACCCGAGTTAGCCCTGACCCGAGTTACCCCTGATGATTCGGGGCTCTGGACGCCCGAGTTATCCGGGGTAACTCGGGTCGGGGGAATCGGGCTCGGACTCCCGAAAACGAACCCGAGTTAGCCCTGACCCGAGTTACCCCTGATGATTCGGGGCTCTGGACGCCCGAGTTATCCGGGGTAACTCGGGTCCGGGGTAATTCGGGCTCGGACTCCCGAAAACGAACCCGAGTTAGCCCTGACCCGAGTTACCCCTGATGATTCGGGGCTCGGACCCAGGCTGTGCAGCCAGAAAGCTCCCGCCGCCAGGCGCTGCCGAGCGGCGGCGCTCCCCCCCCCGAGCAAGGCGGCAACGGCGCTCCTGGGAAGCCGCACCGCTCGAGGGCCCCCCGCACGCGGGTGCTAGCCTCGGCTCGGGCAGGCTCCCCGCCGCAGCGCCGTCGCTCCCCCTCATCGTTGTCTTCGTCGGCGTCGTCATCATCGGCATCGCCCTCATCAACAACATCGTCAGCAGCAGCATCCTCATCAACAGCATTAAATCATCACCATACGATGAATAATAAAAGTAATATCAATCATAACAAACTAATCGCATCAAACAGCATCATCATCACCACCAGCACCATCATCATCACCACCAGCAGCATCATCATCAGCATCATCATCAACGTCATCATAAGCAGCAGCATCATCATCACCATCATGGTCATCATCATCTCATCATCATCATCATCATCATCATCAGCATCATCATCAGCATCACCATCATCAGCATCATCATCATATTCATACTCAGAATGATCATCAGCAGCAGCAGCAGCACCACCATCACCATCATGATCAGCATCAACATCATCAGCATCATCATCATCGTTATCATTATCATCATCCGCATCATTAGCATCAACATCATCATCATCATCGGCATCATCATTACCATTACCATCACCATCACCATCACCATCACCATCATCATCATCATCATCATAATCGTCGTCATCATCAGCAGCAGCACTACCATCACCATCACCATCACCATCACCATCACCAGCAGCATCAGCATCAGCATCAGCATCAGCATCAGCATCAGCATCAGCATCATCATCATCATCATCATCATCATCACCATCACCATCACCATCACCATCACCATCATCATCATCATCATCATCATCATCATCATCATCATCCCCATCACCATCATGAGCCGGAGCCAGCGAGTGGCCACACTAGAGCCCCGACTTCATGAATTCTGTCACACTGTGACCCCCAGGGGTCCCGACCCATTCCGCAGCACCGCTTCTTCATCCTGCGCCGCCTCTTGACAGCCCCGGGGCCCAGCCACAGCCCCAGAGCCAAACAATAACGAGAAAACAGAGAGAAAACAAAAAAAAAAAAAAAAAAAAAAAAACGTACACAGCAACACAATAGCAATGAGTAACAGAGCCCAAACACGAACATACAAAACCGTCGCAAACCGTTTCGTGACCGGGGCGGGGCCACCTCAGCACCCCAGCCCGCTCCCGCCCCGCTTCGCCGACTGAGGGCGGGCGCCCGCTTCGTGCCGGCGGCAGCGCCCGCCGTCCCCGCCGCCATCGGAGCACGGAAATGCACACCGCGGCACGCGCGCGCGCCGGGGCCGCGCGGGCCGCAGCCGCCCCGCTGGCGCGCGGCGGCGGGCTGGAGGATCCTCGATCGAGGATCGGTCCTCGATCGGTCCTTGATCCATATCGATCGTCCTCGATCGATCCTCGATTGGTCCTCGTCGATTGAGGATCGGTCCTCGATCGGTACTCGATCGGTCCTCGATCCATCCGGGATCCTCCATCATGGGAACGAGGGGACCGAGGACCGCTCCATAGCCATCGAGGATCGAGGCTTCTCTGCCTCTGGGGCTGTGCCTGAGCCTCTGGGAGGCATCCCGGAGGCCTCTGCGGATTGGGCGCTACTTGATGGGGGGGGGCGATACAACGGGCCTATAGAGGGCCCCGCCACGGTCCCGAAAGCGCACAAAAGGCGCACGTGTTTCCACCCGGGTACGACGCGCCCGAGCGGATCAAGGCGCTCCAGGTTCGCAAGTCATGCCCCATGGCAGACGTGCAAGAGGGGGTGTCCAAGAGGGGGTTCGCAAGACGCGGTGTCCAAGAGGGGGTGTCCAAGAGGGGGTGTCCAAGAGGGGGTGTCCAAAAGGGGGTGTTCAAGAGGGGACCCTTGGACACGCCCGGGTACGACGTTCAAGAGGGGGTGTCCAAGAGGGGGGTTCGCAAGTCGTGGCCCGTGGCAGATGCGTGGACGCGGGAGGGGCCAGGGGACGCGTTGGCACAAGAAAGGAGCGCCATGACATACGGGGAGACAGGGCCGCCGCCATGATATCCAGCTCCTCCTCCTCCTCCTCCTCCTCCTCCTCCTCCTCCTCCTCCTCCTCCTCATCCTCCTCATCCTACTCTTCCTCTTATTCCTCCTCCTCCTCCTCCTCCTCCTCCTCCTCCTCCTCCTCCTCCTCTTCTCCCTCCTCTCCTTCCCTGTTGACCGCCCCCGAACCTTTGTGGGGGCCTCTCGGAGAGGGTCCTCGCCAGAGCGCCCTCTCTGGTTCTGGTCAGACTGCGCCCCATGGGCAGGTGACGGGGTCCAAGATCCGACCCTTGAGGAAGGGGGGCGAGGAGAACGGGGAGGAGGCGGCAGGCAGGCAGGCAGGCAGGCAGGCAGAGGAGGGAGAAAGAGACGACAGAGGGATCAGTCGGTCCATACTGCACGCCCTCCTGGCTTGGCCTGGGAGGTGTGTACACCGATCCTTGGCCCAGAGAGGGGGTCCTGAAGAAACCGAGTCCTGGCAGGGCGTTTCCTTGAACACTTTCTGTTCCGCCCCAAAACCAAGACCTGACATCCCCCAGGCGGACCCGAACATGCGGAAAATCGCAACAAAACCCAGGACTCCATTCTCGGGTGCAGAAAACATACCTAAGATCATCCGCATACGCGGCCCCACGGCCCAGTCTCCGCGACCGCGGCCCCGTGGATGGAGGGCCGAAGGCAGCCCTGCGTCCATGGGATCGCGCATCCGTGGGATCTCGCCTCGGCGTCTGGACGGCGAGGGCACGGATGTGGATACGCTCGCCGCTCGTGGCTCTCCATGAGGGCCCTATGTTCTTCATTGGGGGAGACGGTACCCATTCCGCCTCTCACCGGATCGCTCCACGGCTGCATTATGATCAGAATTTCGAGACGAATCTGGCCGTGGCAACGATAGAAGAACGAAACAACTCCAGAAAGAGGGTTTTCTCGGAGGTCCACGCGGACTTCTTGGATCGGCGCCGGAGGCGCTGCCAGGCAGGGGGGGCCCAACGCAAATACAAGAAACCCGCGCGGAGTTCCAAAACAAATATTAACACCGCTTTCTGTTCCTCGGGACGAGGGAACAGCAGCGTCCCTCCGCTGATGCTCGGTGGGCTTTCAGGCAGGCCGCCCCGCCCGCCCGCTCCCGAGCGCCGCCGACACCCCAGGTGACCTGCGATTTGCACCCCACGTTTGGCGGCGGGCGGGGCTGTGGAGGCCTCACAAATGGGGTCGGAACCGATGGGATCAGCATCGCCGATGCGTCGGCGACGCCAGCGCTGCCTCCGCGACCTTGGCGTGGAGAGAAACTCGGGGTCTCCACACCGAGCCGCACCGTCGATGCACTGGCGTTGCGGAGCGAAAACCCCTCCGCGCGCGCGAGAGGGCCTGGGCCTGCCAGGGCCCCGCCCCCGCGGCGGCGCGCGGCGGGGCCCGCGGGCCCGCCAGGCTCGCCGCGGGAAGCTTCCCAGAGGACGACGCCGTCGTCGTGGTCGTCGTGTTCGTCGTGGTCGTCGTCGTGGTCGTCGTGGCCGTCGTCGTCATCGTCGTCGTGGTCGTCGTCGTCGTCGTCGTCGTCGTCGTCGTCGTCGTCGTGGTCGCGGGCGCGCGCGCGCGCGAAGCAGAAGCGACTCGCCCGCGACCGGAACCGAACGGCCAAGCACTGCCGAAGGCGGTGGCATGGCGCCGAGGGCGGCCGTGGGGAGACTGCGCGCGCCACGAGGCCAACCCACGGCGGAGGCGGCCCTCTCCTCGGTGCGGTCGCCACGGCGGCTCGCGCGGAGGCCGCGCCGCGCTCGGTCTCGCTGCCCCCCATTCGCGCGGAGGAGGAGGAGGGAGGAGGAGGAGGAGGAGGAGGAGGGGAGGAGGAGGAAGGAGGAGGAGGAGGAGGAGGAGGAGGAGGAGGAGGAGGGGTGGCAACTCGTGGGAGGAGGAGGAGGAGGAGGAGGAGGAGGAGGAGGAGGAGGAGGAGGAGTATCTAGTACTCCTCGGGCCGCCCGTCGCCGCGCTCCACACCGAGACCTGAGGCGCGACTAAGGGGAGGCGAAGGAAAAAGGAGGGAGGGCGGCCTCACGCGGCCGCAGCAGCCCTTGGGTTTCCAACGGGAGCCACCCCCAGGAATACACACCGCCTCGTAGGTGTCCATGACCGGGGTCTCATCAGAGCCACCCCCAGTAGACAAGCACCTCGAAGCCCTCCACCAGGGCTGCCAACGCAGCCGCCAGGGGTCACCACAGAGCCACCCCTGGAAAAGCTCCTCGACGGTGTCGGAGACTGGGGTCTCAAACGGAGCCACCCCCAGTAATACCCGTCGTCGAGGTCGCGGATGGAGGCTGACACGATGCGATATCGTAGTTCCCAGGCTCCCAGCTGAGCAGGTGGAAAGGAAGTGACTGTTCATGCTGGTGCCCTGCTCGTCGCGGTAACTCTCCCTTTGGGTAGAATACCACGTGCCAACTTGCCCAAGTTCTGGTGGCCATAATGGCCGAGATGTCCATAGCACTCAGTAGCCAACCCACGAAGGAAATGCTTGCCGACACAGCCGCACGTCAAGCACGCGTGGATCTTCATGCCACTGAAGTACCCAAGCAGGTGCGACTCGTGGATGGGAACACCCTGCACCATGACGCCCACGTCGCCGATCCGCCAGATGCTTCCCTTGACCACTCCGCCCAGGCAGGGCGTTTCCAGGAACTTCTCGAGCTTCCTCCCACTGGCGCTGCACCCACAAGCTGAGCAGTGAAAAGCTGCACCCAAGCCCGTGTATACCTGGTGCTCCGACATCTTTACCTTCCGACAGAACTCCTTGGCCATCGAACGTGTGGGTCGAAGACGCCTTGGCTCCGCCTCTGCCGCTGCCAGGAAAGCCTTCGCCAAATGCTTCCTCAATGCTCGGCCGATCGCTTCAGCATGTTCGACTGCCGCAACGACATCGCTCGATACTGCGCACTTCTGAGCCCAGAACCCCGCAGCTTCATTCGCGAGAGCATTGGCCAGGCAGTGCTCGACGTTGGTGTTGGTCAGCTTGGCTTGTTCGACGGTCATGCGGCTCTCGATCTTGACCACTTGGAGGTTATGTGGGTACCGTTCCAGGGCCTGCTTCACCTGCAACCAGAGGTCCAAGTTGGTGGTAGGCAGCCGTCCTGTCTAGATCTTTGCGAGGCCCTTGAGGACGTACCCCGAGTCCGTCACGAAGGTCATGGGCATGCCCATCCCTAGCAAGTCCTCCACTGCTCGAAGAAGCGCCGTAGTCTCACCCCTGTTGATGGTCTGCTTCTTGGGGATCCCGCCTCCCCTCGAGTAGAGCAGCTTCACATCGAGCTCGGGGTCACTCGTGACCTGGGTCACCTGGCATGACCACCCAATCCTGCGCAACCGCGGGTCCACTGAGTGTTCTCCCCCCGAAGCATCTCCACCGACAAGCAGATGTTCACACACTCGTAGATCATTCGCGTGACCCACGACCTCGTGGAATGGTGAATCAGTAGGGCCGCCCACACTCGTCCAGGTAGCTGGCAAAATCCCTCTCAATCAAAGGCAAGGTAGGTTCTCGACGTCCTCCTGAGCTCTGCGAGTCAAGTTCTGCGAGGTAGTCGAGAAGTGCACATTGCAAGGACACTGCCAGCTACGATGCAGGTTCGTTTCTTCTTGTCCGCTATCGCATCCCTGACACGCGGTAGTGTCCAACTTGCAACTACTCAAGGTTGAGATCCGATGCCGAGTCCAAGACGCTCCCGTCACCACAGCTTCCAGCGAGCCTGCCATCTCGTGCTCACCTTTCTTGCGGAGTGAGCTGAGGTGCCTCCGAGCGTCACGCAGGCCTGCACCTTCCTCCAAGCCTTTGCCATTCCGATGTCTGGAGGCCCTGTCCCATAGCATCCTGTCGATGGAGTCGGAGATGGCTTCCCTGAGTTCACTCATGTCCTGTAGGCCTTGCCCAATGATACTGTCGGGTGCCATGAATATTTCTCCTGCATCAGAAATCCACGCCCAAGGCCCGACTGGGCCCAAACCAATGTCCGATAGGGTCGCAATAGTAGCCGAGGCAACTCCAGTGATACGCCGCCTTCTGTCCTTCTGCGCCCGCATCTCGATACGCCTGCGCGCTGTCCTCCAAGTGCGACGTGCAAGCTCCAGGTCGAACCCAGGTTGGACAATAACTGCCATCCAATATTCAATCAACCTGTGCACGATCTGGCACTGCGGGCCCTTTCTGCCGACTCGAAGCTGCAAGAGCGCGGCAAGGCAGCGCCCTGGCCACTTCTTCGCCAGAGTCTTCCCCAGTGGCCCCCTCCAACCGTTGATGACGGTTGGCGCTGCTCCAAATACTTTG